TTGACCAATTTTAAGATAATTATATTATACATAAGATAAGTATATTCAACTGAGACTGTGATATGACTACTAAGTTGTAAAATGAGAAAAAATATTGTAAATAGTCATTTTTCTTCGATTGACGGTAGATCGCTTTCATTCTTTATAAGACGTAAAGGTGCACCGTCTGATTTACGTAAAAATATTTTGCCGTGCGATAACCAGCAATACTTATAATGGTTTACTTTAGCATAATCACGACACAAATAAAATAGACGTTTCATTTTGTTACACAAGTTTTCTGAAATAAAAATACGTTTGCTCGTACCCGGGATATTCATACACTCCGTTGTTAAGTACGAAGCTCCCTTGTTGTACTTTTTGTACGAATCTATAATTTTTTCTTTCAAAATAATACTAGTGAACTTTACAATGACAGGTTTACAATCTGTACGTTTGTAGGTATGGATGCGGTATATGTCACATACTTCATGTGGCGATATTGTAATGTTAAGTTTTTTTCCAATATTAATCATCATTTGCAGTAATTGATCCTTAGATTGAAATACTTGAGTAGGTATATTTTTAATTTCAATACTGGAAGAGCGGGAACTACGTTCCAATATTTCAACCCTTTCTTCCAAAGACTGTATATACTTCATATTAGCCTGGCGATCTAATTCTAATTTATGGATCTTTTCATTTAGAGAATCATAAGATTTAGACATAAATTCTATGGAGGCACAAATCTCATTATTTTGCTTTTTTATTTCATCTAAAGTTGAGTAGACTTTTTCTATTTTCTCCTCTTGCTGAATTTTGAACTCCATCATCATATTTCTAATGTCATTCATGAATGAACATAATTGAGAATCTGAACCGCTGTCGGTTTCAAAACGCTTACGCTTTTGACGCAAGGTTACATTTGGCTGCTCAATATCCGTCTGGCTAGACAGGTTTGGCTCAGAGGTACAATGTGGAATCGAACTGGGAGTCGTCAACAGCTGCAGTTGTTGAGGTGGTGGGGAGCGGTTAATAGGCATTTTTGAATAGTTCAAGTACCAGGCGCTTATGAGTAAGGAGGAAGTTTTATAGATAGCAGGTCAAAGTAAACTGGTGGCTCGCGGCGATTTCATAGAACTTTGGTTTCCGTCTAGTGTAACTTGACCCCTCTAATGCGGACGCGCGTAAACTATAGCTTCACTGCACTACTTGATGTCCGTACTGTGATACCGAAAGAGACGGCGATGTAACTAACGTTTAGAGTATACACACACTGTAAATCACGGTTGACACTACTCCTTAACTACTATGCACTCCTATTATTTAAAAGAAATAAACGCATTTTAAACTGTTTTAAAATATGTGTGGAACGATGTTTAACACGTCCGACCACTTTCAAGGTCCGGAGGGAAGGGGGAATATAGTATAAGGGGAAATATAAGGATTATAATACTAAAGTGTTATGATTAATATTTTAATAATGTATACGTATAATATTCTTAAACTACGACATCGATCGTGCTTATGTACTTACGATTAAAACTTTGATATGTTTTTGATATTCTTGGCCATTTGCAATGAGCGACCAGTTGATATGTATACGTTTCCTTAGCTCTATATTTAATATTAAATAAGTTATATACTTAAGTAGCTATAATATAAAGTATTTAATTTGACCACAGCGATGCATTAGAATGAAATATTTTATCATGAATTAACAATCAATTACATTCTGAATGTTTAAAAAAAATATCCTCACAGATAATAAACGATAATAATTAAAATTAACACGAATTTAACGTTAAAATTACAATAAAACAATAGGTATTCATTTTAAATACATAATTGATTGATTTAAATGTAAAATTAAAATACTTTCTTAAAATACTTTACAATATAAATATTATTAATTATGTAATATAGATATTTCAATGTCATAAAAATTGTAACAAGGAAAAACCATGTAATAAATTACATTAATTACTCGAAGCAGTATATAACGCTATGTCATATTTTTCTCTTTCAAGCTAACTTTAAGAGATTTTTCAATGGAAGGTATCAAGTACAGTAAGCGACAGTCGGCGACAGTCAAGCGCTACGAGAAGATCGTTTATTTTACAAATCTATTTGTTATGATATCACCACAGCATTGACAAGATACTAGACTTAAATCTTACAACTAGTACTAATCTATTTAAATAAATTACGATTTAATCTAACAATGAAATACTACACTTTTTTGCAGCTTCGCTCGCTCGCTCGCATTAAATTGCTAACAATAAAATAAATCTAAAACTTTTTTTTTATATATATTATACATATATCTACTGATTGCTTTCAGATCATGCTTATCAAACTATAGCATTATATACTATTATTACACGTGTAATATGTTTGTTTCGAAAATATGTATCTATAAATTTATATATGTCAATTTATAAATAATTCGTTTAGATTTTTACTGATAATCTTTGCCTTTATATAATAATTGAATTATATTTTAATACTTGTTTGGTATATAATAAATATATATTATATTTATAACATAATAAAATATTATATTAATTTACATAAATTTTATTTTATAATTGTTTATCACCTATTTCATTTGGACACAATTTATAAAATACGTTAACTAAATTCGCCATTTTTTTTGTCACTTCCACGGGAGCAAAACCGCAAAGAAGATTAAGTGCTAAATGAGCTTTAAAAGCTTAAATCACTATCAAATAAACAATAATATATATTTGATTTACAAAGTCCGTATAAGCGTGATATAAAGTAACCCGCGGCTTCTGACAACAAACAACAAGTATACAAAAATCAACGTTTATAAATAGGAATCTTTCTGGATAGCCTAAAATTGAAGCTTTAACATCCACTACATATAATCTTCTTCTAAAATTATATTTCATTGCCATCGATCAAAAAAGTACTGGACACAATTCTATGCAAAAGTTCTCTTAAAACTCTCACCAATTGTGTTAAGGTTGTGCTAGTTGAAATAAATATACAACAATGTAATTTGAACCTTAAATGAAATCTTTAAATATGTTTTCACAACAAAAAATAATTAAAAGCGTGCTCAAATGTTCAAATGACCGCTAATTCGATGAGGACATTTTTTTGGCGCTGATTGTGTATCTAATATTTTTTTGATCGATGTTCATTGCAAATGCAAATCATTCCCATATTTGTTTTGGATTATTATTTTTAAATGATTGTAGCATGAAATTTTGTCTAAGCTTTAAATATGTTAATAGTGCTGGTATCATGACAACGTTTAAAATTGCTTTACACAAATCTAATAATTAGATTTGCTGTTTCTAGGAAACTCTTTCTGGGACGTAAAATGTACATACATACATACATACATATGTGGCATTGTAGTGGACGTATTCGTATGTCTTCATAGAAATTTCAATTTTCACATTACAGTAGAAACGTTGTCATAATGCTTTATTTCCATTGTAATGTATATTAAAGTTATTAATAAGAATTTCACTAATGTTGCAAATATAATTAATCATTAGTAAAAATATAATTGAGTATGTACATAATTTGCAATATTGTAATATGCAAAGCAGTCCCTATGAAAACAACGCAAACTTAATCAAACTTAACTCTTCGTTAAAATTAACTTGTAAAAGTTAAAACAATAACTTTAGATTCGTAACGTTAGCATAAGACTTGGCTCACAGCAATAATGAATTTAATAAAATCTAACTACAAGAAAAGTGTTAAAAGCTAACAAAGAACTACACTTGTATCTACTTAAGAAATTATCATTTATATTTTGTGCATTTATGGTAAATAGTTGATCAACCAATGAATAGATCGATAGTTTGATTTTTTTATCTTTTTATACTTAAAAAGATAATATTATAATTCTAATAGCGTACATCGCCATGTCGTGCACTCGTTACAAGCACGTAACAAAATAAATATTTTTGTGCGTCATCGGCCTAATTTTGCATCTAAAATATCTAACATGAATCAACGTCCAATAGAATATAAATAGTAACAATTTTTTGAAGCTTTTCTGCTTTTTTACGACATCTACATAATATAGTTTCCATATAAATTCAATAATACATAGATAATTTTATTGCACTACTTTACTTTAGTGTAGTTAAATAATTCTTAACATCTAAAACTACGATATATCAGACAACAAGTGATATGTTTCAGTTACGATTAGCTTAAGTTACATCGAAATATATGCGTATTTTATATGATGGTGTTCATACAACATCAATACGCCTTCATGATCAGTGTTATGAAAGAAAAATTTTCGTATATTCCGTTTTTTGATAAATGGACATTTCTGATGTTCCAATTAAAATGATAAATATAGAAACATTGTCTTGAGTCTATGCCATTACATTCCACGGGGCTCGGGCAAGTTGACATTCTAAAATAACTATCGCTAATATAAAAGAAGTCACTTCATGTGAGGATGTCATTCCCATACATATTTTGCTCTCTATTAGCGATATCGTTTGTAGAAAATCGTCTTGATTAAGACCCGCCCAGAATGGAAATTTATATTTGATGTATTTTTATTCATGCATAAATTTAGAAGTCTACAACTCCTAGTAACATTCTAATTCATTAGTAGGCTGCGGGAAATTTTATTCTTTCTTCTCCAATGCTTTTACGAGGCAATTGAAAATTTAAATCTAAATAAATATACACATGTATGTTTAATATAAAGTATATAGTAATATATAATTGATTTTGAATTATGTATATTTATAATTTAGTTTAGATTCACTTTGGAAGTTATAATTTTCAAATTTAACTTTTACATTCCATACATTTACGATTTAAATAGATCTGATATTTAAAGTTACTAGTGCTTTATAAAGCGAGTAAACGTTTTCAATATATTTTATGTATAAGATATTTCAAATATTTTAAACATTCGCCTAAAGAGCAAGTAAGATCGCCTAACGTTTGCAAAATTGACGATAGTAAAAATAGATACGTCAAAAAATATGTAGAATGTAGACTTAGCTCTCTACTTTTTTGTTCTGGAACATTAGTTTCATGGAGTCCAGGGCTTCTTCTAGAGACTGTCTGAAGGCCTCCGTGTTGGTGACGCTGGAAGAGATGAAAGAGGATATGCAGAAGATGACGCAATCCTTCTTAGGATTGTAGCTGCAGCCGTATCCGTCGGGCACCACCGCGCCGTAACCCATGAACGTGCCGTCAGTGGTAGTCGTCACCTGAATGAACAATCCATGTTATAGTTTAAAGATAGTTATCGTAAAGTAATAACTTGACAATATAGCATTAAGTTCCATTTTTTAAATGGACAAATCGAACGCTTAAAAACTGTTTTTAATGAATGTACATTTAGAGTTTAAATTTAAATAAGGCAGTCTTAAATATGAATTTACAACGTTATTAATTTTACTTAGTTTTTAAAGAAAAGTAATTTAATGAATGAAAAGTTAATACGTTGGAATTTGCATAATTTATCAATCCAACCGATCAAAGGAGTTACTAACAATAATTGTAAAACAAAAAAAAAACTACATATAAAAAAAAAAATATAAAATAGATGGCTACCTGACTGGTACTAAGCTTGAACTCTATCATACGATGGTAGGTAGGGTCTTTGAACATGTCGGGGAGATCCCCGAGTGCCTCCCGCGCCGCCTCGCGCAGCCCCAGTAGGTGGTTGTCGATGCCGCGGCCCAGGATGTTGGCTTCCATTACAGCTGTCTGCTTGCGAGCTGCCTCTTCGAAGAGTTCGAGTTTCTTTTGCTCCTGTTATTTTTATGGTGTTAGTTCAGTACAGACTGATTTGCATGCGTATATCTTTATATCTAACTCTCGACTTACTTTGCGTCTCTAACCTGTGTGGTGACTTGTTTGTGATTCCACGGAATTTTGTGTACTAAATGTCCAAATCCGTTCAGCCATTTATGAATACCATACATACACATAGATACAAACTTTACTCAGACAGTAAGTACTACCTTAAGCTAATTTCATTACTAACATTAGCCTTTGTATTAGTCCAGGTAATAACCTATTTGTACACTAAGTTCATCCAAAGCCGCCCAAGCGTTTTATATATTTACTAGCGGACCCGACAGACGTTGTCCTGTCTACACGTCTTTAATTTGAAAATTTCAAACTTTTTTTAATATTTTTTTTGATGAAAATTATTATTCAAATTGTGAATCTAAACCATTCCCAGATCCCCTTGAACACACACAAAAAATTTCATCAAAATCGGTCCAGTCGTTTGAGAGAAGTTCAGTGACATACACACTCACAGAAGAATTATATATATAAAGATTTATTACTAATGCGTTTTATTTATTTATTTAATACTAATATAGAGAATAATATACAATATCATTACTACCAAATTCAATTCAATAAAACAATATTTACCCCATACAAATTAAAGGACACCTTCTTCTGCCCATCATCATCATGGGGCGGCGTGTCCGCGGTGCACATGGCGGCCGCCCACGCGCGCGCCGCGTTGTGCGCCGACCGGATGTTGTCCACGCGCCCGTTGCGGAACCGACGCAGCGATGCCGACTCGTATGTTGAAACCAGGTACCCGTACAGCCTAAATTGAATGAAGTAAAATTTTAATTCTTGTTTGTATCCGAGATATATAAATTTGACTTAAATTACATGCCAATGGAATTAAACGTTAGTCGCTATTGATATTTTATAACATGCTAATATGCCACTACGATTATATACCGTGGAGTCTTAAAATGGTTAAACCACGAAAAGTTTTCTGTTTTGGAATATATTAATATAAACTTTAAATAAGCCTGCGTTACAAAATGAATAATGTCTTACTTGAAGTAGGCGTATTGCAAGGCGAGCTGAATGTAGACGTCGGGGCTGGTGCGACAAGACTTCATGAACTCCCGCCCGTAGCCGCGGTAGGTGTACACTTTCAGGTCTAAATCGGATATAGATCTGTAAAACGAGTCCGTAGGTTAAAATACTTACCTAAATAAAGCTTATAATTAAACGCGTTTTATGCCAATCTTATGCAAAATTGAACTTGCGACAAGCACACAAACTCAATCAATACAATCAACATACGTAATGGTCATTAAATGCACTGTCATTAATATATAAGAAAGCCATGGTAAAATTCAATAAGGCAGTGGTAACCCAGTGTCAGTGGTGACGCGCTTGCTTGGAAAATGGAATGAAGCGAGTACAAATGTCCGGGTCTCACACCTTTGATATTTACATGTGCGAATCATTTCCAACATGACTACCACTTTGTCTTGCAGTGAAGGAAAACATAGTGAGGAAACCTGCATGTCTGAGAGAGCCTAGCAAGTTTTCAAAAGACATATGAAATCCGCCTAGCCACACTTGACCAGCGTTGTGGACTATGGCCTGATCCCTCTCCTATTTTCCAATTAATTAGTACCTATCAATATCCCGAGCAGCGTGCTCAATAGTTCTTTGCAGCTCTGTCGTGAGGTTCCACTTCATGGGCTGTGGGGCGGGCAGCAGGACGGGCGGCGGCGCTGGTCTGTCCGACACTTCCGCCCGCGCCAGGGCTCTCTCTGCGAGGCGGATGGCTGCCACGCCTTCGGCTGGGCTGTGCTCATAGCACATGCCGATAGTACCATCTGATGAGATGATCAGCTGCAAGAAAGCATGGGATATTAAAATAGTCATAATAGTTACGATCTTATATCATTATTGGAAAATTTGTAAGCACTCTCTTGTGGAAATCATTGTCTTACAAAGTAAGCTAGCTTGCTTGAACTAATTTTATTTTTATAAAATTTAAGCCGTAGCTCAGGCGTTGATTATATCAAGGTTGTATGTATGTTGTACTATTTATAACAGTAACATATTTTAGTTAAAACAATAATCATTAAAATGTAAATAAAAAAATATATCTTGCAAAATTTTATTTGCAGATGATAACAGTAACATTTGAATTGCTTGTACTCTTAGTTTTCTACATCTCCTTAACATACCTGAACCGTCTTGTCGAACCATCTGTTGGCAGTGTGGAAGCGAGTGCCGCCGCCGTGCATAGCGCGCAACATCGCATTGGTGTCCGCGTCCAGCTCGCGCCTGTCTCCGCCGGCCTCGTCCACACACATGATGCACAGCGCCCGAGAGATCAACTCCAGATTTGTACGGTTGTTCTCATCTATATAGATAAATCAGGACTTATATCAGTTATCATTTATCTACTAATTTTATTTAAATAAAAATGGTAATTTAAATTTTAGAGTAATCCTCTGAAAATTAAAAATCTCTCATTTTGTAACAAAGAAGTATTGGATTTGTTAAAGTGCGTTTTAACTAAGTACTGGGGTGGACAACAAATGAAGTATTTATTTAAACTCAAACACAAACTATATTTCGTTATAATATACATATGTATGTATCGCTTGGCTGCTTGAATACAAGTTTTAAATTAAGGAAGTAAGTTAATGAGTCTATCTGAGTTAATGTGTGAAGCAAGCCGGCGGGCGGCGACGGCCGGTCGACTCGTTCACAGAGTACATTGGTATAGGACTCGTTGTATATTGTGGTCTCTCTCTGTCCCCGTTCCCCGCTCAGGTGCATTGAAGACAGATTTTAATCCGGGCTATTTTGTTTTACTTAAATAGATAATAGATGGCCCTTACGTAAACCACGTAATAATATCACGGAGGCGCTATTTAGCAACCTCATGCAATTATACTGATAGCAACGTAAGCGTGCTTATTACTACTTTGCTATATAATTATTTAAATTATTATTTGCTTTTTGTTTCTATATGATGTTGTATATTGTGTGTATCTTTGTTGGAGATCCTTAATAAAATAAAATAAATCTCACCTTTAATCAGCTGTTCTCTCGCCTTAGCCCATTGATCTCGATTCATAGACGTGAGCAGTCCGACTTTAGGTGCGGGAGGAGCGCCCGCAGCATCCACCATAGCGTGTAGTAGTTGGGCCTGCATCTCGCCCGGCGTGAGCCGCCCTCGATCGGCTGCCTTTACTGGGATTGGATAGAACTGGCAGAAAGGAAATAGTAATAATAAATAATCTGTAACGTACAAAAGATGTACATACATACACCCAGACCACGACTAATATCTATATGACTAATACAATTACTTGTAGTGATTCGAGATAAGTATTTGTATTGGATACTCGAAGAACCTGTGTTCTCCGACATAGGCACAGACTATCCACTATGCTAAAGGGCTGTCACAGCAATGTTCGGAATTATGATTCTTTCAGAGATTATGATAATGTAAATCATTATTCAAAAGACTAAACTCATTATAGGTCAGACGAGACATTATTAAATATTCAATTAATATTTTGTACAGATTGTTGTTCTTAAAGGCTTTATAAAAATCTTTAAAGAATATAGTATATTCTTAACTTTTCAATTCAACAAACTTCTAAAAAACTATAAAAACTGTTAAGTTGTAAAGAAACTTAAAATAACTGATAAAATCTTAGTACATTTTCTATTGAAAGCCGAGAGCACTGAGTAATACAGTTTGAACAGTTTATTGAATTAGAACGGTTCTCGGGAACATCGTTAAACCTATCTCTGAATACTCGAGCATTATTTTGCTTTGAATAAATCCAATTATACTAGTTTGCAGATTTCCAGAGATACTGGAGTTTAAAGGCTAAATGTATCTTCAACTAATATGAACTTTAATTTATTTATGGACGGAATTGGTAAGTTCTCTTCGGAATTTTATCAAGCATGCTCATATATTATTTAGAAAAACAAAGTAATAAAATATTGAACAGCATTTATTCATATCATCAACAAAATTGTGGGATTAAGGTTGGCTTGAAATATATGAAAGTAGTTTCTTCTACTTGCTTTGTTTGAGGTTAGAAGCTTGATTTTTGATAACTGTTAGCTCTTTGAAGAATAGTATCGAACATATTATTATTATAACGACGAGGACTTTATACTAGTAATTAGTTGTTTACACGTAATGTTGCTTCCTCATACAAACTTTGATCTCCATTTTCATCTTCGTAAGGGGTGGTCTCCGGGATAAAAATCCTATGTCCTTCACAGGGGCCCAAACTATCTTCTTACCAAAATTTCATCCAAATCGATTTAGCAGTTTCGGAACTTATTCGGTACAAACAAACAAAAAAATCTTTCCTCTTTTTAATATTAGTGTAGAAGGGGAAATTTCATTTATTAAAATTAATTCAATTCACATATAAGTAGTAACTATTGAGTACTAGGCGCTGCGCTTACTAGTGTACATATGAGTTCATAGAGGTTAAGAACCACTTACATAATTCCTGCAAGCTACAATGATCAACTCCTCACACTCTGCAGGGTCGCTGGGCCGGGACGGAAGCTCCAAACGGTCTTTGCCCACTTCCGGTATACGACACACTCCGAGCAGACGGTAGAACTGCTCCATACATAGCGGCTGACCTTTCTCACGACTTGTCGCCCTTTCCTGGGGTAGTTCACCTCTGTAAATTAAAAATATATTTTATTTCAAAGTACTACTGATGGATTAATACAAAATATAATTGATTTTAAACAGTACGTTTTGCGAAAAAAAACAAGGTTTTTATTAAATCATGCGTTATCGAAGCAGAACACACATACATCACACTAATATTACAAACGAGAAAGTATGCGAGTGGATGTGTTCACTACTACTTCACGCCGTTAGCGGTGCAACTATTGAAGTGGGAATAGAGGTAGCCTATATGGATTGAATTCAGATATTTTATTCACGTATCTATAGTACGGCAAAAACTAGTACGGTATATGTGGTCAGACTGGTAATTTAGGAAGAATTACTGCTGCATATTAAATTTGCTAATTCGCGAGCTGGTCATTAGAATATGCATAAATCTAATAATCCTTATATCAGCTTGTAATGATTAACATAATTTTATTCATTTACTTTTCTAAGCGTTTAAATGTTATACAATACCTATCCAACATTTCTTTATAATCGAGCAGGTCATCGATATAGAGCGCAGCAAGGTCTGCCACCTCATCGATCTTAGCGAACTGCCGCCTCGGGAACACCATGCCGGGGTTAGAGTTTATGGGAACTGGCAGCCGAATTTTGAGGTACATATCGTCGAGCCACCAGTCTGTTACCTGCATATAATTTCAAATTTATATTTTTACATATTAATTGTAATTTTTGTGTACCTTATGTTGAAATATTGGACAATATAGTAGAATATGATAATAAGATTCAAACATTTTATAGTTAGGAAAGGAAAGTTTTAATTTGTAATGTATAAACTTATGAAGGTAACTTATTTAACAAAATATTGTCTATGGTTTCTGAAAGGTGTTCAAAAAAGTCCATGAAAATGATGTTTGATCGAAATTGTATGTTTGATAAATAAAAACAACAGTAGTATTATTAATAATATTTATTAAAAGTTATTAAACCCTTAGAAAAATTAAAAATATCGATTATACGGCACTGTAGGGCTTAGGAAGAAAATAGTTCTTCTCTTTCGTTTTGTAGGTTTACCCTTAATACTTGATACTTTTGCGGTAGATTCATAATTGTACCAACCACTTCGTCTGAAATAATACAACGGATCTTCATTCTGCATTTCTACCGGTTTCACCAGAACATTTTTTGGGCTCTGCGTAGATTTTATATAATCTACATTATATAAGTAATCCCTAATTGAATCTATCCTATCTCTTAAAAATTTAGGGTTTTTGTTAGTAGAATACACCGGCCTTTCGATAGTTACTTCCTCTTCAACTGGCAAAGGCACTTGAATAGAATCTTTTATATGATTAACTTTTTCTCTCAAAGACAGTGCATTGCTACGATGATGATTATCAAAATCTTTTCTATAGAAATCATTATCATTGTCTATAATTATAGGTTTTGGTCGAAAACGTTGCTCTTCAAACAAAGGTCGAATCACATATTCTTTTGGTAAAACTGTGACGGGAGGTAAAGTTCTATAATTGCGTGATCTGGAAAATTTCGTATCGCTGTTACGTCTATTTGAGAAAAAATCATTCGTATCCATTGCTAATATTTCTTTATTTTGTTTTGACAAACGTATTCGTTTCATGACTTTCCTTTGAGTGTGAGATGGAAGATTTTTTATAGGATATAGGTTGGTCTTCCCAAAAGGATCTAATAAATTCTCTTTTCTCGCAAAACTGTAGATAGATTTATGTTTTGCTTCAATATTATGTTTAGAAATCTGATCATTCAATGTGCTAATCTCTGATAATGTAGTTGATACATGCTGTTTATTTGGCTTTAAAATTATTTTGTTTTTTTCTAAATGTCCAAACGGAACAGATAATTTACTTATATTTGTTTTTCTATGAGTAAACTTATATTTTCCTAAATATTGAGGTTTCAGTGTGAAAATGTAAAGATCTTCTTCCGTAGGTTTGTATGTATTATATTTTATTTTCCTGCTTTTCTTATACATCTTTTCTGTACTTTGTGTCACGCGGTTTTTAGTTTCTTTTTTAGTTGTGTATGTTTGTTCTAATTGCATCGCATTTGTGCTAATGGTAATTAATTTATTATTTTTAGTAATACTATCACTTTCTTTATAACTTTTGGATGATATATTTTGACTGTAAGTATATGTTATAGTAGGGATATATTTAGAGTACTTTTTTAAAGTGGAAAAAGAATTCTTAAGCACTTTATCAGAATAATGTTTACTCGCATTACTAAGGATTAAAGGGCTTAAGGCCGTTACGTAATTATCTGTTCTTTCTAAGTGGCTGAAATTATGGAGTAAAATTTTTGCTTCATCATAATTTTCCAACTTAAATTTTAGACTAAAATTTTTATAATATTCAGGATTCTTAGTCGTATATGCTTTCTGAGGCGCAGTTTTGGAAATATCATATTTAGATACATTGTTAAGAGTTTTGATAGTTTTGGGCAAATAAGTTGTAAATAATGCTGTGTTTGATACAGATCGATCTGTTGTATAAACTACTTCTTCTGAGTGTAATTGACGAGTGCTTGTTTTGTTAGTAATACTTGAAATATTAATAGTATATTCCGGATTCTTGTTTTTCAGCAACTTTTTTATTTCATGTAATCTTTTCTGCGTTACATTGCTAATTGTACTTTTTAAACTTGGCCTGGTACGACGTGTGTAACGTATTGTAGTACTTTGAATTTTATTATTTCTTGTCATATTATTTGTTGTACTTACATTTTGATCTGTGGTGTGAGTATGTTGTAAATTAAATAAATTATTTTTAGTGATAAGTAGTGTCATTGGAGCTGTCGTTTGTTTTATTGTAGTATTATTAGTTTCTGTATGCTTATTGAAATTATTTTTTATTTCTCTTAACACATATGTAAAGTTTTTCTTATTATTGATACCATATTTTTTCTCATTAATTACACTGTCAATTGTACATTTTGAAATATATGTAGGAGGATATTGAAATATATCTTTCCTACTTTCACGTGTTAGTTTTGTATTATTAATATTAAAATAACTTTTTGTTCTCTGTACTAGTTCTTTTTGCTTAACCTTATTGTTTTTTTCTTTAAGAAAGTATAACTTGTTACTTGTAGTTGATTTGGTTGTTAATGTTGTTTGATTACTACTTGTTTCAAAATATATATCTGTTGTGTTTCTATTCAGAATTCTGATTGTTTTATCCTTTTGATCATTTTTCTGTACTCTAGTGGAAAACACGTCGTCTTTATTATTATTCCAAACATGATTCCCAAATTTAAAAATATTCAGCTTGGAGTCATCTGAAACTGCCAAGGGTTGCGAATGTAAAATATTGGTCATTGAACTATCATAGGGAACTGAAAGGATTGATCTTGGCGTTTCAGTTCGTCTTAGCTCAAAATGTGAAAATTCCATAGGGGGGCCATATTTTATTGAACTCTTAATCGTCGCTAATTCATTAATTATCTTATTTGTTTTCGGTAACTCGGTGTTTATATTGTTGTACGTAGTTGTCTTATTTTTGTGCAGTGCTCCTGTGTTTGTTTTGTTAATAGTACTTGATATACTAATATTATTCTTCCTATATGTTTTATTCAGACCTGGATTAATTATATTATTTGCTGCCAGTGTTGCAAATATAGTTTTATATGTCGGTTTTACGTAATGCGTGTAACGCTGGAATGGAATGGTAGATCGATTGTCATTTATTTTATTAGTTCTCCTAATAGGTTGATTCCTGGTCTGAGCATGGTGCAAATCACTTCTGAAATAATCAATTTTAATATTATTTGCATCTTTTAATTTATCCACAAATGTAATTAAGCTATCAAAATTATTCGTATTTTTTAAATTATATCCATTTTTAGTGGGGTTTTTTTCAATAGACGATGTATATACTTTTATACGACTAGTATAGTTCCTTATAGTTTCCGTGACTGGCAGCATGTTTGTCGTTATGGCATTTATTTCCACAATAGCAAACTTCGAACTTTTTAGCATATTATTAGTAGTAGCGACTTTCTGTTGTAGTTGATTTTCAAATATATTGTTTTTAGTGATAACAGATAGTTCAGTAATGTCTTTATCTTTTGCTTTTTGTTTCATAGATTTTATCATACTTCTCCTTATCGGGTTTCTACTTTCAGAAGAATTTTTATTTGTAGTGCCTTTTAAGTTTGGCGTTAAAATTAGAATTGTTGTATATCTTAGAACGTATGCTTGACTTTGACTTGTATCTTTTCTGGTGTATTTACTTTTTGTATATGTATTTAAGCTTACAATGGAAATATTTTCAGCAACTGTTGACAATGCATTGTTCTCATTGAATAAAGAATGAGTAACATTTATTGAATTTTTCTTTAGGTTGGCTTCTGTTGCATGATTTTCATTAAATTTTGAATATGTAATATATTTTGTAGTTCCCATATTAGTAACTTGATTATTCGAAAAAGGGGTACTCCTATAAATATTTTTATTTGTTATAGTTAATGGCATTAATTTAGTAGTACCATTTAAAGCATGGATTTCAAAAGTATCCTTCGATGGATTTACCTTGTTATTAATTGATTTTAACTTTTTGGTTGAATTATAGAGAGATTTACGAAAATATTTAAACGGTGTATCCTCTACAAATTGTCCTCGATCATTGCTTGTTTTATTGTTTTTAGTAAAATTATCTTCTTCACGGAGGAGTTTTAATGTAGGCGGAATGCTACTTTTCATATTTTTTTGATTATTACGAGAAATATTATTGTGTAGTATTTTTTTAATATGCACTAATGAAAGTGGTATTGCGCTTGTAGGTAATTGACGTCTATGTGCTTTTATATTTTTAGACAGCAGTGTACTTGGAGCTTCAATTTTTTCAGACTTTAGGAATTTTATTATTGCTTCCTTTTTTGGTGCCGATGTCAACTCGGAAAAAGATGTTAATTTTATTTTTTCATGTTGCTGTCTATTATCTTTTAATATTTTTATAGTAGATAATCCTTCATCTGTACTTTTATCTTTATTGTTGTTGATTTGAAAAAATATGTAGTTAGATTCTTTATTTTTATACTCATTAACTTCTTTGTTCTTCTTGGTTAAAAGTGACTTGTTTTTTATCTCACTTTTAAATGAAGTTTGATTAAAGCTAGCGTGCCACATGAAGTTTGTAATATTGCCTTCGCTAGGATTGTCAGTTATATTAGCTGATTTTGTGGATGGATATGTTCGCTTATTATCTTGTATTTCCGTACTATGATTTTCAATTTGTCCAAGATATTGCGATGGGGAAATGGTAGTCTCTAAAATCTTTTTAATATTATTTTTGACGGACGAGACATGGCATGGCGATTCCTTTTTTATAGAATTTTTAACTGTACTGTTGTTATTCTTTATGTATTTAATTGTCATATTTTTGTTACTTAAAATTGTCTTGCCAATGATGAAGCTGTACAAGTTTACAGTAGTATTCATATGGATCTTAATCATATTAGAATTAGATTTTAATAGTATTAGATTAGAATTGCTAATTTTATCATGGCTTTGATTGAATTTTGCCTTATTTTTTGATAAAAATGGATTTTGTTTATTACTTGCAGTTATTAATGATTCTTTAAATGGAAAGTCTGTCTGTCTAGAGCTATTTCCAATTAATGCATCATAAACCAGACTATTTATATTATTAATCATATTGTCGATAGTAAATTGTACATTATAAGTAGGAGACGATTGAATTAGCTTTTTCTTGTTTCCTTGTGTTGAACTTGTCATATTGTCATTAAAATGATTTAATATGCTTGTTGTAGTCTGTATCTCGTCTTTTAAAGACGTTTCAGGGAATAAAATCTTATTAATCTTGATTTTTAGTGGTACTTTTTGATCCGCAAGTAATTTAGTTCTTGAAATTGGCAAAGTATTAATTGATGAATTATTTGACCTAAAATCACTTTTTAAAATGTCCTTGAACGTAAGAAATGTTTCCAATGGAGTTGTCATTAGTTTTTTTCTTGTACTATTTATTTCTGTATTGTCATTATTATTAAAGTTATCTTTCGATTCTCTTAGTACTGATGTCAGAGTCGTTGTATATTGCTTAATAGTTTTATATTTTTCCTCATTGATATCACTATCTGTAGAAGATTTTAAATTATAGATAGAAGACAATTGTAAAACGTTTTTTTTGTTTTCATGTGATTGAATTATCATGTCAAAATTAGAATGATCTAACTCATCTTTTTTTGGTTTTAATGATTCAGTCAGGGGCTCCACGCTTAGTGGAAGTGAATTACTTGTTTCATTAATTTTGTACATATTCTTATCTGCTAATAATTTAGTTGTTGAAATTACTTGATTATTTGTTTTGAGGTATATTACTGTTGTTTTTCCGTAAGTTTCAGGGATTGTTTCATCTTTTTGAACCTTTGTGGATCTTAGTGTATGAAACAAATTAACCATTTTGGATTTATTAAGATTATGATTTGTATATTTAATAATATTCTGTTCTAGATCATCTGAAACTGGCATGATTTGCAAAGGCATAATCTTGGTCGTTAAGTTAGTATGAGGAAATAGAATGTTCGACGTCCCATATCGTCTTTGGTCAAAATTTGATGTCAAAGACGGAGACGTAAAAGAAGGCTGTATTGATTTAGTATTCTTGACAACTTTCGTCCTCAATTCAGATATTATTTTATTACTTATTGGCAAATTCTTTTCCTGTTTAATGTATAGCGTTGTCAAGAATTTTGATAAATTGACTGTATTATTTTTGTTGAACGTTTCATTAGTTGTTTTGTAACCATAATTTATTCTAGTTGTATTTTTGCGGAAGCTCGATGCATAAGTTGTAATAATGTGCAAATTCTTTGTTGTATATTCACTCTGTGACCTGTTTTCATAATTACTTTTGTTATTTTTGCTTTTGCCATCTCGCACTTTAAATTCTTCAGAATTAAAACGTTCTATCTTCGTTCTATCATTATTTATCGATGTATTTTCTTGTTTAAGCTTTAGTAAAAAGTGCGCATTTTTTAGGCTTTCGGTAGGTGAATAATTAGTACTTTTGTTGTTATATCCTGCTTTATACTGATTTAGTGCTATTATAGTAGAGCTATCATTTTCTTTCGTAAAATCTTGTAAAGATTGATTTGTGTTATTAAGCATATTATGTTTATCTCTTCTGCTATCAATATGGCAAGGATGGGTTGTTTTATTTTGTAATGGTGTACTAATAACACTAGGCTTATTATTTTTTATTGAAATGGTATAATTTGTTGTATATTTGTAGCTTTTTAAGGTAAAACGATTTGGAAATATATTCTCTTTTATTCTTTTTGTTAAATTAATAGTTTTCATTTCAGTCAAACTATTATGTTTGGATGTTGACTTTGGTGACCTCTCTATAGATACATCTTGTAGTTTCTTCCGTGGTATCTGAGATATAAAACTTTCTGTTGCAATTATGTTATTACCTTGAGGGTTATGCTTGTTTTCAGTATCATTTACAATATTCTTTAGATGTGCTAAATAATCGTATATGGGGTTATTTGATTTTCTCTTGACAGTTACACCAGTAGTTTCTGATGGTTTCTCTATAGCTCGATGGGTATCAGCTGTAACATATTTACTTCCTTTTGTTATCGTTTTCATGTAGGTGTTTTTATTTTTTATTGGTCGTGCAGTAATAAATAGAATATTATAATCATCTATTTCTTGAGTCGAAGGTACTAAGTAATTGTTGTCTTCAAATAATTGGTTTAAAGTAATTGAGTTTGTTAAAATTACCATTTTAGAATTATCTTTTTGAGATGTTGCTGTAAGTTTATGTTTAGCAGTGACAAAATGTTTCATTTTATCTGATGTCGTATTTTTTCCTTGGTTTGTTGATCTATATTGCGGTGATGTAATTTCCTTTACTGCTATGGGATCAATGATTCTTAAATTTATTTTGAGAGTAACATTTTCGTCTATAAAACTTCTAGTTTCTACTGTATTGTATTCATTTGGCGTTTTATCTGATGTACTTTTACCATTCGTATTTTTTATAAAAGCTGTAGTTCTTTTTTCTTTAGTGTCAAATTCTTTATTTACTGTTGTCATGTCTATCAAATTCTTTGAAGTATTATATTCAGTGGAGTTTAATTCAAAAGTTTGGTTTTCTTTTATAAGACCGTGAGAATTATGGGTCATAATTATATTTTGTGGATTATTTTGAAATACTCTTCTTAGTGAATTTGATTTTACATTATTTAAGGTATGTTTATAATGATGCTCTTTAGAATAGTTATCCAAAAATATGTCTTTATTAGCAGAATATACTAATGTTGAATTCATAAATACCTTTGGATTTCCAATTTTTATTAAATGAGGTTCATATGCATCCAAAGAACTATTTTTATGTATCCACGAGCCATTTATGGTAGCACTTGGCGACTTTGAAGAATTTAATATATGCAGATTTTCCTTTTTGGCATTAGGAAATAAAACTTTATTTACTTTATATTTATCATCGTCAAACTGTGTGGTATGATTGTGGTTGGTTGATAAAGAACTAGATACTTCCAGTTTTGTAGGAAATAAAGTAACTGTCTCTATAACAATATTATCATTTTCATAATTTTGTTCAAAAGATGTAGGCATAGGTTTATCTTGAGTAAAATAATTAACTATTGAGTTTGCTTTTATTGTAGTAATGATATTATTTGTCCTGGCTCTTGGCTTAGTTGGAATTCGAATTGTCACTTTGCTATGGTTAGAGTCTTCTCGTAGCGTCTGGAGTTTGGTATTAAGTAAAGTAGTCTGTAATGCCATATTTGAAGAGTATATTTTAGCGTGTGTATCATTTCGAAATGTAATTTCATTATTGCGGCGAAAAGCTTCGGTACTTGATTGAGATTGAAAGTATTTACTATGTTTTCTTAAACCTAAATAATTGTCATAACAAAGTTCTGTAGTTGTTGTTTTTGTTGAATGTACATTGGAAATATTTTTTATATCATCAATCTGTACAGATTCAACGTTTCTTAAATGCATCAATATTTTTGAATTCATGCCGTCTGTTGTTATTCCTTTTGGTAGCACGGTTAGATTAGAAAAAAATAGCTTGTTGCAGCTTCTTGGTGATATTATTTTAAAAGAAATTATTTGTGAGAAGTTTGGAGTCGTATAAAAAGATTCTAATGAATTTGTATAGCTTGAAGTGGAACTTAAGTTGTTTCCGATGAAGGGACTAGTAGTTAGATTTTTTTCATGCCCATGTATTACAGGTATATTTCGTGATGCTAATTCTGCTATATTACCAGTTTTTAAAGGAAATTTAGGTAGTAATCGTTCCTTAATACTACGTGTGCTACTATCGTCATTTTGATGTGTAAAAACCTCCTTATTAGTGGACAGTATTTCTGAATAATCAGTCTTTTTTCCGAGATTTATTTTCTTATTATATTGATTCACTAACATCTTAATATTACTTATTATGTTACGATAATTTTCCTGTAAGTTCTCCTTTTGTTGGCTTGCTGTAATAGTTTCCATTTCAACAGATTTATTATTATCACTGAAAACTTGAGCCTTGCACACAGATTCATTATTGCAACATTTGTTTACATAAATGTCGAAGTTTTGATACGCAATAATATCTATATATATTTTGATTGTCTCGTTTACTTCGAGAAATTTAAATACTTTTACTGTATTGTTTCTTTTACAATCCATTAAAAATTTAAACATTGAATACAAGTAACATTTTTTTATGTTATCAAACATATGACTCTTATCATTCCTTTGAAAAGTCTTCATACTAATTACATCAATGTCTATGGGCGATTGAAAATTATCATTGAATTGATATTCACTTATAATCTGTGCATGTTTCGTTAATCCTTTAGTAGTGTTTGGGTGCAACGTGATAATTATGATGATATCATGTTCCTTCTCATTTTTTGGTGTTATTTTATTTTTATACAAATCCAAACTCTGCATTCTATACTTATGAGTATTTTGACCAGTGATAAAAATATCAAATAATGTTCGCCGCATTTTCTCTTTCATTGTCTTAGGCATTTGAAATTGTTTTCTACTAGATGATTTCACCTCGTTATCTCTAGCTGAATTAGATGTTTCATTTAATTTGCTAAATAGTTCGTGTTGTAAATTTATGCAAGTTCTGTTGTAAATCTTTAAATATAGATCGATATTACTTACATAACTATCATTATCTTCTTCTCGAAGTAAATTGGTGTCGTCATTAAAAATAGAGTTTTGTTTATTATTCAAAGTCTCCTGCATGCACACACAAACACTATTTAGTACTTTTAATGTCATTTCAAATAAATTTTCATCATTATTCGCCGCGTCTATTGACTGTATAATTTTTTTCAACAATAAATCTTCTGATTTTTGGAATTTAACTAAGCCATCATTTTCGGGAAATCGATTCAAAAGGCAAAGTAATAAGCACACTCTTTTAATTATTGAGGTCATGTTAAAGAAGTAAGTTTACATTTTGACCGTCTGTTTGTTTCACTCAAGTAGAACAATGTCGGTTTTCCGGGCACATGTTATGTGTTTTATTAGAGCTGCACGATAAGAATAGTTTCATGAATGGCTAATGAGATTTCAAGTCCATTTAAAATTTTGCATTATGGTACCTATGCACTGATAATCGTTTATTAAATAACCTCAGTATAATAAGACGCATTCTATACGTATAAAAAATATTAATTATTAAAAAAAAATATTATATCATACATCCCGCTTATCAGACATATCAAATTGTTTTTTTAATATTTGATAAAATATAAACCTCTAAATTTAACAATGTTAGAAGTAGTCCATTGGTAGCTCTTTTGATAAAACTATTAAAGCTTATTCAAATGCTGGGTATTTTGATTTGATCTCTGAAGATAGTCTTTTCGAGTTTTTATTCGAAAAGAACTATGACAACATAAGTTTCCAGTCCAAAAATTATGCCACTGATTATTATTATTTTAATAGAGTATAATGTAACCGTCTAATCTTACCCAATTAGTCATTTCTTTTTGACGCTCGAGGAGTATATTTTGCATCTTCGGGCCCAATTCCTCTGCGAACTTCTTCACGATATCCTGGGTCTTCTCCAATTGCTGCTGGTTCACGATCACTGATGCGAAGTCCAGGTAAGAGTCCAGGGTAGCCTGGAGCTCCGGCACAGGCAGTTTGGCTACCTGCGCAAACTGATCAAATAAAATAGATTAGTACGGTCAAATAAGATCAAAAATTAGTGAACCATGAAATGGTATATACGGACTCTTCATTATTTTCAACATTCATTTGTTATAAACCTAATGATTTACATCTTAAGTTTCATCTGAACGGGTGCGCAACTTAGACCAGCTTGGCAACTGGCTTCCCTCAAGGCATATATATAAGCTGTTTATTATATAAGGGTATATTATATAATAAACAGATATAAACTAGTACATACCTTTATTTTGGCATTTTATAAAGTCAAAAGTTTCTTATAATCTCTATTCTACATCATAAGATGTTGAATGTCAAAAAAATGGATTTTGACTCAAAATGATTTTTGAAGTATTATAGAAAGAAATTACAAAATATTATATCTTAAAATTCTCTACAAGTTTAGTACTAAGCAATACTTTTTCAAACCATTTGTTCTGGAGATACAGTTGCAGATTGAGAAGTGGACTTTTTGGCCCAATTCAGAAAATGCCAAAATAAAACGCATAGTTTGTTATATTACATTTCAACAATGAATCCCTATTTGCCTAGACTAAACAATATTTTGCTATTTTTAAACGTAGTAATAATAAAAATAAATAGTAATTATTTTACCAAATAGTTTAATAAAATACGAATACATATTACTTAAGTATCATCATTCATCAGTAGTTGTTCGATATGAAAAAGTTATAAGAAAACGTTGATAACAAATATATAGAAATAGCAATTCATGAATTAGGTTATACTTATGTATTTTACTTGGATTTATAGAATAGGTAATTTATATTATTACAAAAAATGTTACTTGTAAGTCCTCGTCGTCTGCGCCGTAGACCTGGGTGCTGAGCCATCTCCTTGGCAGAGATAATAGTGACTCGCCCCATCCTATAACAACAAACAAATTATAATTTTTTATGTGACGTTAAAATGTTTAAAATACGTTACGCTTAAAGACGTAAAATTGCTATAGTTAAGTTTATTTATTAAGTATAAAAAATTAAGTTTACAAAAACCGACTTCAAAAACTAAAAAGTATAAAATAACTAAATAAAGATTTAATTTAATATTAATAAAACACTATTATTTGTATGTGCTACCTATTGATAGGTTTGAAGTCGGTACCAAACCAAATTTAATAGTAGGTACCTACACTCGCCGCGATCTGAGAAATCTATACTAAAGGATCTGGACACGGGTTAATAATAATATATAATCAACCTAAATGAAAACTCCTAAAAAAGCCGTACACAAACTAAAATAAAATTACATCGTCCATGTAAACAAAAAAGTTCATAAAATGAAAACCACTGGGCCAAACTATGTTAAATTTTTATGGGAGCAAATGGCAGCTATTCCGCATCAGAATTACGTAAATCGGATCATAAATCTTAGCGTAATCGGTGTACATACATTTAAAAAAATACCAATCGTATTGAGAACCTCCTCATTTTTGAAGTCGATTAAAAATAAATATTAGAACAGGATTTTTATCAATGGTTGTGATTTTTATCAAACAGATTATATTATCAATGGTGACATTTGTCAGAAAATAGTCAACTAAACAAATATAATAAAAATTATTATTTAATTGATGATTAAAATTATTTTCTTTAAATTATTTGACGATTCAAAGTGCTTGTATAAGTCTAATTAAATAAACTAATGCAACATGAATGAATGAATACCTTTGTGGCAGTGGACCGAGTTAGGGCGTTAATAGTAAAAATAACTTCAACAATGGTGAAGATATCGCGTAGTACACATAAAGACATACACCTTCTTTTTCTGAAGTTGTCCAAAACAGAATACTTAAATAATCTGCCTAATTGAATAATGAAGGCCTGCGATGTACTTAATTAACAAAGTATGAACTCTGAAAACCGCTTAAAATAACTGACAATTTAAAAATTACTCCACGAAATTACAAACATAATCAAATCAATAAATCATCCATCCTAAATCGCAAGAAACAATTCGAAAAGCTAAAATGAATGGCTAACGCCTGCAAAGTTTGCTTACCAGGGCTTTAATAGTAAGATGTAGTGGCAATATCCGGAGACGACGGCGGTGCTTAGAGAGTAATCTCACGGTCTATTTGTACATTAATTTACGGATTACCTACATACGTGATTGTTCTAAGAAGACTTAGGCGCGTAAATCTAGCTTGTAAAGTGGGTCAGGTTCCGAACAAATGCATAATTTGTCATACTTTCTCTCTTCGCTCGCTGGTTTGTAAGGCGTGTAGGCCCGTGTAAAGAACTTTCTTGGTAGTAATAATGTTTTTTTTTACTCGTATTCGACCAGCCAATTTCATTGAGAGTAGACATCAGCGGAGAAAATTTTTATAGTGCCTTGTGCACATTTGACAACACATTTGGCTCAGTTTGTAGTGATCCTACTTGCTGCGCTAGCGTTCACGGGTTCGAGTCCTGTTGGGGGCATTCATTTGTGAGCACACGAAAGTTTGTAATCCAGTCATGGGTGTTTATATTTTAATATGTATATATTTAAAGTTATATATGTATAATGTATCAACTATCTGGTATCCATAACACAAGCCTCGTAGCTATCATGGAACTAGATGGTGCTGTTTATTAATGCCCCAACATATTTATATTATTTTATTCTGTAATTTATTTATTCCTTTTTCCTTTCACTCTCAAAGTCTAATGCATGCACCATTACAAAAATAAACGTACACAGGGAATGTAGCACCTCAACTTCCGACTGTTGCTTCCCGACTCTAGACCCAGGACTAGAACCCAGGATCTCTTGTATTTTACATGCTTGCCACTAGGCTTTAAGGTAGTTTTTTTTAATATACTAGTATCAAAAAGCACAACATGATCTAAATTGGTAAAAAAAATCGTTTAAAAACCGTTTCGTGTCGGACGGTATACAAAAATGAGCTTGATAAATTCTCAAAAGAACAATAATTGGATGTTATTGTTTATGCTATGTTTAAATATTGTTTCAGTGAGCATAAGGTCAGATATAAGAGGTAGTTGGAACAATAGAAAATTGTATAAAATAAAATTGCTTTCCTCGTGGAAATAGGGAACAAAGAAGCTTTGCAAATACAAAGGTTCATTTGCACAAAAGATTTTCACGCGTATTTTCTTAACTTCAAATTCTACTTTTTATTTTATTTTGTTTAGATGCGACTGCAAGATATGATTCCACCTACAGACATTTTTAGTTAGATCCTAACTATAAGAAGTCAGATACTAATAATAAAACCTCTCCGTAAGCCTTTATGAAATGAACCTATATATCCTCTCTACTTTGAAACAGCAAGAGGTGACATGTAAAAAGCAATATTATTTTTCCATATACGTATATTATAATAAAATTAAGTGTTAAGTTTTAATTGTACATATATTAAGTCTGTCATTACAGGTAAAGGAATGAGGGCGAACACGCAACCTTTTGTAGATATTGCTATGCAGTCACACCGCCATTAAGTCTCAGGCTATTCAATTATTAAAACGTAATTACTATGCCTTAAATGTAACGCTCCTGTAAAAAGTTCGATACTTGTCTCTGCTTTGACAGTGAGTAATGACTAATGACATGATGGCTCTCTAGGGAGGAAGGGAGCTGGCAGTATACGCCAAGCACACTATGTGTGGTAAAATATACATTATATTATGCAAGAATGGTAGGTTGATGGTTTTTATATGTTTACTAGCGAATCACCCTCGCTTCGCTCGGGTTCGCCCTAGGTACGTTTAAACGGTTACTATATAGACTATATACTGTTATATACATATATTATTTTTTTCTAACTTAAACTTGACGTATTGTTGTAGATGGTAGGTCCACCACTATTGAAAGTAATCCGAAGTAGTAATTCCCATACAAAAGAACCAGCTCTGAACTTTTCAATTTTCCAGCTGTTCTTGTGGGTTTTTCCAAAAAAAAATGTATATTTAAACTATCCCGGATATACCTCCAATAAAACAAAAAAAATATTTAAATCGGTTCAGCCGTTTTTGAGTTTTAGCGAGACTAACGAATAGCAATTGATTTTTCATACGATACGAGTATATAGATATTACTGTTATAATGGCGATAACGTTTGGTAGAACTACTTGTAACTTCTTCATCAAAACCATGAATTTAGTCTTAGTGAGTATTGGCAAAGGTATCTAGATCTGACTAACTTTATTTAATTAGAATTTTTTAATTTAATTTTTAATTAGATATGCTATGACCTGGAAACATGTAAGCTACTGCAAGTAATAAAAATTACCAAAAGATGGCGCTAGCTATATATTATAATATTATTAATACAAAAGACAACTAGGGATACATTCGAGCAAAGTGTAAGTTGCTCGTAGTTATATAAACAAAAGTTAACAGTATAGAACAGATAAAACAAAATATTAAACAATGAAGAGAAGCACCTGGCGACGGAACAAACTTAAGTATTTTAAATTGAATTTAGTTTTCATCTTAACAATAGATACAATTCGTACTAACTTCTTTAGTCTAGCTCGTGATTCAGTTCTTTTATTTACTGCAGGTGTCGAAATAAACGTTCAATTTCATTTTAGATTTAACTTCACCTTTAACCGTTCTTAATACTTAAATAGTAAGAATAAAATAATAAGTTTACATCAAGCTTTTTATTCTTTAGTCTTACACGTCTAAGAGTCCTACGAAGTGATTTTCGATTAGGACAACCTATATAAATGAGACCAATAATCTTCGTGGTAAGAGCTGTCCACCTGCTCTCCTTCTAAACTATCATCCTTATAGTCTGGTGGGAGGAGAATCGATCGAGGAGAGATCGCGGAGAGATCAGCGAGCAGGTGCGACACAAGCTCTCCTAGGCAGTGTTTATAGCAATTTTGACCGCTTATAATTATAATGACATAAGTCTTATTAGAGTCCTTTCATAACACTACCTTAGGATTTCAATTTTGAATGTTTGCGTAGAAAATTATATTTTTTGTTTAAATGTACTTGAAATTTATATACTAAGTTTTTTTGGATAATATAATATTTTTGGTTAATATAAATCATGTTTTTAAAATTCTATCCCGTAAGAGTCTGTAGGCGAACAAAGTCGGGCAGTCGGGAATTATAAATACAATATTTACCTAGGTACTTCGGCTTAGGAGGCAGCTTAGAAAGCATAACTATTGTAATGAACATTAATACTCAATTTCAATATTCATTAATTTCTGTTTTCCATCTATTTACAACGTTCGAACCCCTGTTAGCGGCCGACAGGTGTGTATTCTCACGGGGCTCGCTTCCCGTCCTATTTATAGATATCATTCACGTTCTTTGTTAGAATATCACATATCATGCTTGCAAATTACACTTGCGATGTTAGTGTACATAGTGTGCTAGAACTTTTAAAAGCTTAGGAGCTTTATAGCGTAATATAAGGGGCCCCCCTTAGATAGAGGAATAATACAGACAGTGTCTTAGAACTAAATATGAAACTAAATGATGTTTTAAAATAATATATAATGTTTTAAAACAGTATACAAAATATTAATAGAATATTCATTACTATGATGAGTAAATTAATGTTAATAATTATTAATTGAAAATAGCTAACGAATCTTATTATAACAAGGAAAGAAGAATTGAATTAGCTAATATTGCAAGCAAGCAAGCCTCTTAGCTTACCATGGAACTAGATGGTGCTGTATGGTACTGTCCCAACATATTTATTTATTTATTATGCTACGGGTATCTCTACCTCATGGGGAAGAGAACTAATGCTTAAAAATACAAATGATTATAGTATTATTTTCATTATTCATATTTTATTCTCAAAAATTGTATATTACTACACTATTTGACTTTGACATTTTTTGACGGACTCCATTTTTTAGACTGAGTGTGAGCTTTCCCATTCCGTAAGGGATAAGGTAACGAGATGAATGTACTTTTATCTTTTATAAAGCATTTGTATAGGAACCACGCAAGGCGGGGGAGGGTGAGGTGAATCATTAAATTCCCCCAATTGATTGAAACAAAACTTAGGTTTGTTAATTCATATCTAATAAACTGAGTCTATATAATAAAAAATAGTTAGGAAAATCCGTACAGTCATTTCCAAAATAAAATAGTCATTTTTTATTATATTCCAAAATGTTCCCATATATGTCCCGGTACAGTAAGGCAAAATTCGTTATCTCCACATGAATTGAAGCAAATACCGAACATTTTGCTTGATGTTGCATGTGAAAATATAAGTATACGTTATTATGAAACAAAATTCTTTTATTGTGACTACTAGTGCTTAATTTCATAAATAGAAGACATTCTCTTAAAAGCTAACTAAAATAAATAAAAAACAAAACTCAATCATCTTAAATAACATGAAGAGAAAAATTGAATTAATTAGCGCAAGTATGTATGTATGTATATAGCAATCATAAAAGCTTTTACAACGGTGAAGCTTTCAGACTGCATGGTGTGTGTCCGGTGACAGTGAATGAAAACATTCGTCCGGCCCCGGGTTATTTAATTACGTAGCCCCGGGTACAGCACTGGCAGCGTGATAAGAGCAGCGAGTTCTAGCGTGCTAACGAAATGTCATAATCATTTTTTCAAACTGAATATCTACTACATATTAATAGGCGAAGACAAAACAGTTTAGATCCTTTTTCTCCTCGATTTGTCAACCGATTCTCTTTTTTTGTTACGTAGCTATTGGCGAGCTTTAGTGTTATAAAAAAAATTTGGAAACAATTTTTTTATATAGATAAGTAAAGACGTAATATATAAAGATAATATAGGCGTTATCATAAAAATATATGATTATGGTCGAATTTCAATTACTGGACGTACACCAATTGACGTAAAATTATATAAATAAGTGGGAATAGCAAATTTCTGACGTCCTCCATAGCACTATCAAATCAAATCAAAATATTTTATTCAGCATTAAATTATTACAATTTTTTTCTGAACGTCATGAGTCTACTACCAGTTTGGAAAGAAGAAGCCTCAGACCTGAGAAGAACTGGCGAAAGAAACTCAGCGGGACTAATATTGACAATGACTATGTATCAGTACCACTTTTTTTCTACGAAAATGTTAGTAGTACACAAAATACTGTACAGTTATAACAGTGTAAAGCAGTACAGGTCAAAATGTACATTATTAGGGATGTCTTAATGATTTTCCGGAGCGGATTTTATTTAATAATATGGTATAAGAGTACCTTGTTTGATTTTCCAACCCATTACCTATCTCTGCGTCTCCTTCGCATGCGAAAGATAAAAAAAGGTAAATGATTTGGCATTAATAATCGCTCTACTATTATATCTGTGAAGTTTGCATGTTTGTGTATTATATATGTTTGTTAGTAAACAGATCCTGTTAGGCATCTAGGGATGTACCCGAACGAAGCTAGGGTACATTAATATAAAATTATATAACAATAATAATTCAATTCTTTTATTGTCCAACCGCTATATATGTAGGTACACTACGCTGGCCTAATGCGGGTTAGCAGAGTTTGTGCGTCTCTTGAAAATTAATTTGGCTTTCAGACATACTCGTACATGTTGTCTTACGAGCGATTATTCACAGATGGTTGTTTTCCAACCCGATTCGTATTAATAGATATCCCTTACTGAAAACTTGACTATTATATTAAATTAGCTTTACGAATGGTTTAATAAGAAAGGATATTTAAACGTATATTGTATTTACAAATAATTGTTCACTGTTCAAACAGCCTCGCTCTCCGCTGTCAGTGTGCACAGTGGTGGTGGGAGGGCGGCTCGTCTCCATGGCGACGCAGGTGCGCAGATCGATCACGGCAGGTGTGTCGCACATCGCACCACTCTTATATGTGATGCATTGAAAATGAAACTTGTGGTACAAATGAATACTTTATCTGTATATATAATAGTAATAAAATAACGTTACAAATGTGGACTTTTTAAATCAATAATAGATGCCTATTATGATAATTAGGAGAATCGGGTAATATCTAAAAAGATTATCGAGAGAGTAATTCGTTTTCTATACAACGTATGAAATCATTTTAAACTTCTATTTCTATCTTAATTAAAAATAGTCGATTCTTTTTTAGCTAACTTTATTTTTGCTTTCATCAAACACAAATAACAATAATCTATACATATAATAAAATTCTGAGTCAAATCTATTCATCTTTTTTTGGAAAATCTTATTCAAATAATCATTATTATCAGAGGCCGAATCTACAGTTTTTAAAATTTTTGTCTGTCTGTCTGTCTGTCTGGGAACGCATGAGAAAACCACTGGAGAGATTTTGATGATGGCTGGCTATCCGGATCAACATATAGGATACTTTTCACTGCGGGAAAATATCTCATTTCTGAGAAATCTATACTAACCGTTAAAACGTATCTAGGGACGAACCCGAGCGGCGCGAGGGTGAGTTGCTAGTACTTTATAATATTGTAAAATGTTATAGCCAAATTTCCTCAGCTTAGAGACAGTTTATCGAATAATATACTCGTAGATTTTGTATTATAATAAAAAGAACTGCTTTAGTAACAATGAGAGGTAGAAAACATCTAAAACCGTTTCAATTCATATGTATAATATGAAACTTAACTTACAAAATATTGTTGACTAAAACCGCACTCGCTAACTAAATTACTGCGGGTACCCTCACGTCGCCCTGACGAGGGACCACTAACTGTGGGAAACTTATTTATCCAGGACCTAAAGTTACGTGCAATATTAATGTATACGACGCAGAGGGAGTTGTTTGGACTCATTCCGCCTCTCTTAGTTATGCTTTAACTTTGTGTTTCCCATGCTTTAGAAACTAGGATTGACATCTTTCCTATTTATTGGATAACTTTCATTTATTTAGTTTGAATGTATTTTTAGTGTGTTTATCTTCGCTAATTATTATAAACCTATGTGCATGATTATTTTGACGAAATATGGAAGGACCAATATAAATATAAAAAAAAAACCTCCTTAGGTAGAGTTGTTCTTTTAAAGGGATTTTGATTATCAGTGAACATTTATAATTATAAAATAATTGTAAGATCTCATAGAACTGGGAGATTATTATAGTTTTATATATTATGGAATTAATTAACTTATGGTTTTAAATGAGACTATTTTCTATGATTTTAAGTCAAAACTATGATATAAAAATAAAATACATGTCGAAATTACTTGGAAATGTGAGGAGTTTACGTGACATTTAGTCATTTAATAATAAGCCTTTAATAGTCTTACTAATTTTAAATCATGGCTTTTATTTTCAGATAGTATTATACTTTAATTTATTTAACAATGTAATCTAATCTCTTTTCTACTTGAGCTCTACGTTCCGTGCGCTACACAAAACGAGGGTCTACGAGATCGGGAATTACGTGAAATAGATGTAGGCGGAATTGCTGGCAGTGCCTAGTAGTAATATAGCTCTTCCCTGTGTATAGATGTGATACGTGACCCAGACACTTTTTCTGCTCACTATTGTGATTTGCACACTATAGGATTCGAACTAACGGCTCCCATTGTCCTGCTGTTTAATTAATTATATAAATTTGAACTCAGTATTTTTTCAGTACAGCCTCCAAAAAAAAATTTACATCAGACTTACGTTCAACAAACCACACCATAAATTTGCAAAACTAAAATAAAAGTCATATCAATATTTACTGGAATAAAGAAAAAATTATCTACTCAATCTTATAAATTAAATAATTATTATTTTATATTTATCCGTATAACAGACGGCTATGGTAGACAAGTTCTAGCGCGCTCTCTTGGAAAACCAATTAAAGCGGGTTGAAATACCGGGCCTCACACCTTTGATATCTTCAGGTGCGAATTATTTTCAACATGTTTACCACGAGAAAGGAAAACATCGCAAGGAAACCTGCAAGTCCATCCATTTTTAATTTGAATTAGGATTAGTTAGAGCTGTTTTATTCTTTGAATACATATTTTATAAAAATAAGCTTAGCTACGCCATGTTTTATAAATAAGAAACTCTCTCCATTACTCAGAATAATTAGCGTCTATAATGAGGCTTTCTAAGTACAGACTAGCACTACCTTATAATCTTGTTGACTACTTTGTACTAAGAATATATTTTTATGTTATTTTGTATGTAAATACTACCTAAATATATAGGATAGACATTTACGAAACTGGTTCACAATTCTCGG